TCCATGTCTCAACGGACAGTGTCGAGCCAAGACCTGAGCTGCCCTCCTATTCGGCGTCTCCAGGTGGGCTGCGGTGCCGGACCGAGGGCAGCATAGCAAAGCTTGTGACGCGGATGACGGTAAACGCACCAAAACCACCTCAGTCGCCTTTTTTGAATGGCCTGAGATATCCTCGCGGTACGATCGCAGCGAGTGCGGACGCTCTCATTGGAGATGAAGTCGGTATACTTAACTCAGAGGATGGTCCTCAGGCAGTGATGGTCAAATACCTCCAGTCTTCGCTCATCTTCAGTGCGCAGAACCCAGTATTCACATCAATAGAAGGGGTTGTCTAATGGCGTTCGCGTTGCAACAGCCCAGCTCATGTTTTGTGGAAGTTTACCGTATCTCGAACGCGGAATGAAAGGCGGCGGCCTTATACCGCATGAAAGGTGCCGGTAATCTCGAAATGATGGCAGCCTGTGAACCAGCTTATTCAGTAGTTTGTCAGCTAAGTTCCGTGGTGATGGTCCACCCTTCACTCTTGTATCTTAAATTATAACTACCCCAAAGCGCGAATTGGGCTGCATACAGGGCGATATTTCTTTGGGATCAAATTCTCTCCTTCATATCCGCCCATTCTCCTGATAAGACGAAGTCGAGCCCTTTGGCTGTGGACTTGGTCTGTTTGTGAACAAAATTCAAGCAAGATCAGTATTCTTCCTCCTCCTCCAGGACAGGAAGCCTACCGTTTTAACCACATACGCGCGTGCAACCAATCACGTGTTTCTCAGGGGGAGGGGGGAGGAGGGGGTTGGTTTGGCGGTTCGACCGGCAGATTGCTGACATCAAACGGGCCTTTAGCCACGGCCTGACTGCCAACTCCTTACCCGATCACCTTTTTACACGTCTGTGTCCCTTCAAAGCTCCGCGCCGAAGTAATTTGAAGTAGTCGAAAACCAGTTTTTTTTGTCTGGGTCACCTTGGGTAGTAAAAGTTTGGAATATTTTACCACTAAAAGTTGGGGGTGAGGTTGGCAGATTTGCTTAATTCAATTGACCCAATTGTGGAAAATTCGCGGCCTTGGTGGAAGTCGAAACCTCACAGCAGGACAGACCTTAGTACAATCAGCGCTCTACCATTGATCTACGAGGCTCACCCTGAGCCGGAACTTAGTCACACTTCGATTTTATCTGCTCAACGTTCTGTTTGTATGGAATTCACCACTACAGAACAGCAAGCTGACTGTCCAGGCAGGAGTTCTGTTATAACCAAGTGTGTTCCTGTGTCAACACCGGTTATGTCCCCCAGTTAAGTGTTAGAAAGAGAAGACAGAACAGGATAGCAGATAGTACTTTACTGTTAATAGTTCTGTTTGTGTGTGTGTGTGTGTGTGTGTGTTTGTGTGTGTGTTCTGTTTGTACATCAGCGTTGTCTACTGTCGTCGGCAGCGTCTCCAGCAACACATTGCACCTCCTATCCG